CTCTTAGAGAGAAGACACCCAAGATAATTGGTGGCGCTTTGTTTATCGTAACAACCTGGAATTTTGCTACTTGCCTACCTTTACTGGCAATGTATAAAAGCAAAACTGGAAGACAGAGGAAGGTGGAATAGGAACAGGCTTAAATAGGAATGAGCTTAAACTGGAGGGGGAAAAGACAGCTTTTTAATTTGGTAGCAGTAACATATCTCCTCTTTGGGGAAATTGAGTCACCCTGAGATACATTCCAATTGAATATTTCTCCTGGAGAGGCAGTCATGTTACCCACAAGTAGACCAAAGTAGGCCTAAAGGTGGGGAAAGCAGAACAGAAATAAAATAATCACTGCTTTTTCTCCAGGCTTGGGGAAGGAAAAAAAAAAAAAAAAAAAAAGATATGACAAAGGAGCAGCCCTCCCCCACCAAAAAAACCAGATAAAAATGTTCATCTCCCAATATGCTTTTCCTTGACTCTCATATTGAGGCCAAAGAAGTACTGTATTGAATAAATACAAAGAAAATATCTAGTATGATAACTGACACTTAGCCACACATGAAACTGAGAAACAAGTGACAAATAAATGTTTGATTTTCATTAACAAAGGGATGATGATGATAATTATAACAACAGTAGCCATTAGTTACTGAATACCTGCTATGAGGCAAGTACTAACTACCCTGGGTGCTTTACAGACTTCTCTACAGCACTACAAATGATATTCTATTAACGTCTTTTCATAGATGAGGAAATCAGCAAAGAAGATAGGCATCTTTGTCAAGGAAAATAATACAGATGTCCTATGATTTTTCTTTTAGTATACAAAAAGTAAATTAATTTATTTTTACTTTTTAAAAAATTTTTGCATCTGGCCGGTATGGGAATCAGAACCCGTGACACGTTGGTGTTATAAAAGATAATTTAAATGTAGTTGACAAGAGACTTTTTCCTAATTTTTGCCAAAAATATCAATTTCTTTTTCTCTTTCATTTATTCTATAGAAACATGTTGCTTGACATAAAATCTGTCACTTTATAATTCCAGTAGGAGACTTTTTCTTAAGAGAAAAAAAGAACAGATTAGAGTCTAATTTGATCCAATTATTTACATACTTACAGAAGGATGAGAAGAGATGGAATGGAGTCTGAAGAAAAAACGCACATACATCTCACGAAATATCTGATACAGTTTGGAAGGTTCGTGGTATAGAAAACAAAGCGGTGCAACTGAAAGGAAAACTTTAATTGATAATACTGCAGAACTACTAAAAGTTTTAAAATAAGTTCATGAAATATAAAAGAATAAATCAATATTTTACAGCAATCATATTCATTCACAAACAAGTTTAAACTTATACATGCATTGTTTTGTTCACTTAGAAAAGGGAATATTTGAAAAAAAAAGAAAAGGGGATATTTGCACATTAAAAAAGTTCAGTCATTAAATATTATAAAGGAGTAAATTATAAACTATTATAATTTCAACAGTAGACTAAGAATGACATAATGTAATTATATAGGGATATTAAAAATTCAAAGAAACATTTAAAAATAGAGTCAAGTCTTTCTTTTTTAACTGAAGTAACACAAAAGCGATAATCAGGCAACCCGTTTTTACTTTGTCCCACAAAGGATTCAGGCCACTTCTCAAAATTTTTAATTTTGGAAGTCAGGTAAGTAAATATACGAAGATTTATGACTAGCTTTTAGAATCATGGTCTTCAATTAGTTCAATTTGAAAATAAAAATTCTGAGTAAAAGCTATACATTATTGGTCTACATTGGCATATCCCCATATGTATCAAGACAGTTTTAACTGACTTAAAACAATCCTCAGGCAGAGGATTTATTTTTCTAATAAATGGCGAATTAAGTTTTCTTTTGTGCCCAGTTCTTGGCAATTAAGCATGGGTGGGTCAACTCTACCAGACATCCCCCAGCTGTATGTCTTAAAGTCCTAATCTCAGAGACTGAACTGACCACATGATTATTCTACACTCACAAACATGGTCATGCTTTCCATCTTTTCAAGACTCAAGAATTTTAGGCAGCATAAACATATTTATAATGCAGATACATAAAACAGCATTATCTGAATATTAATTTTAATTAAAAATGCCTTAGTTATGGGGTATATTTTAAACAACAGAAATTAGACAAGTGAGAAGTTCTGGGGCTCTATAATCTGTCAGCAATGCCCCGAGGGCAGTAGGCATTAAGCAAGAGGGGAAACCAGTAGGTCAGTTTAGCTCTCTTCTTTTTGATAAAGTGAAAGAAAAAAATGGTAAAATATTTTAAATGCTTACAAACACAAAAGTTCAATAATATGAGATAAAGAGAGGTGTAAGTATTACTGATAAATAAATTATCAAAAACCAGCACTGCAAGTGAGAAATTTTACTTTTTCTGAAGGGCAAAAGAGAAACAAATCACTTTCAGGGGAGCAAATGTCTAAATACACGTAAAAATAACCACTTGTATATAATGTATATTATATATATAAAATTTTTAAAATAGCATATCTTCCCATTTCAAA